AGGCAACATGGGGTTCAAAGGAAAAATGCTTATCATTTTCAGATGCTGAGTCATCAGTCTTAGGAGTTACGGACTTTGACCCTTTAGTAGGCTTGAAAGCTGGTGAAATCTCTCTTTTACCACAGTTACTTGACATATTTTGAAGCTGGGTGAGTTAAAAACCTGTCTAACAGGTATATATGAGTATATAATTATTTCTACGTATTAACCGGGTTAATACTAGGATCAGAGACTATTAGTATATAACGTATTACAGATAAAAAGTGCTCAGTTATAATGTAAGGAAGTACCGATCAGTGAAATCTCTATTAACTGGGCAAGTGTTGGTTAAAATTTATTAACCTACAGTAAAATGTGAGCGATAAACGCGATAGGATGATAATCTAAGGACAATACAGCCTACAAAAGAACAAGTCTAAGAATTTCTAAACCACATGAAAAAATGTTACCACTTTCGAAAGAATCAACCCTCCTAAACTGGCCAAGCTTCAAAAAGAAGACACTGATCTTCAGCTCTCGTTAGCTTCGACAACCCTGAATCTACGGATCAAACAGATGAGACACAGGTGAGGAAACTTTACTATCCGACACATATACAGTTGTGGATTGTCTAATCGTGGCGAAACATCATCGATACAACCTCTTCAATAAGTTGCACTAGCTTTATCACTCAATTGTTCGGGTAACAATCTAGCAGAACAATTTTATTGGCCTGGTGTGAATAAATACTTGAAGGAGTGGGCTAGAAACAAAAAGCATCTCGTGGTCTCTTTCGAAACTCCCAACGCTCTTTTCGACCATGTTCATCTGGATTTGGTAGCACCCTTACCAGATTCAAATGGATAGTCTTACTTCTTCACGTGTAGACCATTTCACTTGGTGGGCGGACATTACTGCAGAAGCAGTGACCCACGCCGTCGCCTAACGACACCTGGTAAACCTCAACTTCCCTGAACTACCACTACAGACCGTGGACACCGGTTCGAATCTGGATCTTACCGTTGTCTTGCTACACTACTGGTAATCACGCTATTCTGAACGATCACCTACCACTCACAAGCAAACGGGTTGGTAGGACGATTTCACCGAAATTGGAAAGCTTCACTCTCAGCTGCAAACGTTTCACAGTGAACTGAAGCTCCTCTACTCGTTTTACTTGGTATTTGCAATGCAGGGAAAGCTGAAGTTGAATATAATGCAGCACAACTAGTTTACGAGACGAAACTCCGGCTTCCAGCAAAATTTATGGATCCCTCATCTTCTTCAATCAATATGGATATAAACTCTTACAAGAACAGACTTACGAACGCCACGCCTTCAGCTAAACCTGTCTCCATTCGACTTCAGTTAACTAATGTTTTCAATCAACCTGCCTTATGATGTGTCACAAACGTTTTTGTACGTCGTGACTCATTTCAACGACCTCCAAAAATAGGACTGAGCCCTGGCCAAATCATCTGGCAGTCGGGTCACTGAATATCAAACAGATCATGGATCACCATCAGGGTCAACAATAACCGACGTGCATCGGTTAATCGTACGCCATGGACTGGTCATGTTGTGGTGGTCACACTTTCACTTATACCTATTGTTGTACGGTCCTTAAAGCAATAATAGCACCTTGGTATGACAAAGGGGCAAACCACGTTTAGTGCTGACCTTGAAGTGTGACTTCGGAATCAGCTACCGGCCACACCATTCCCGTCTAACCCGAGCAGGCTACCAATCATTTGACGGAGATCATCAGCGTTGATGATCTTCACTGGTTTGAGATGGTGAAGTAATCTTAGGAAAGTTCCCTTCTCAATAGCCACAGGATCCATCGACAAGTCACCATCATCACAATTAACTGTTCATCTTTGACGGTCGTCAGTAGAGATCGCTTTATTAAAATATTTTGTTAAAGCTTCAGCCCTCACAACACCACATCTTGCTGATATCATCGGATTTCCTTGAGCGAAAAGTGGTGGGGTTCCATCATTCCTTTGAGTTTACCTTTGTATATGCGAGATCAACTTTTACAGATTATTTTCATAATCTAGGACCAGTTGTTTTTCATACGAAACTCTAGACTTACTTCTCAACGTTTTACGAGCATTCCTAGCATTGCAGTGGATTAGTCTGTACTTTCCAGAGCCTGTAGAGATAATCATACCCCATTACGTTTCTTATGTTTCTTGGCCGCTTCAGTTATCTATGGTGAACAGTTGTTTGACCTGCGTTCTAACAAGTATTGAATTCACGGATACGTAACTAGGCCTGACATTCTTCTAAATGGGGACCATACTTCTTCGTGTAAGTATTTACTGACCAGTTCGTTGTTCCCTGTTTGTCTCTTATGTTCGCTCTCTATGCACTTAGACAACGTTCAACCTTATGGTACATTATGTCACAAATCCTAAACATAAACGAGACAGCATGATCGCTATTCCCTAGTAGCTGTAGAGTACTTAGAAAATATTTTCAGTCGCATTGGAAGTACATTTTACTAATAAATCAGATAGACGTAAAGGGGAGGTTGAACATGTACATCATTCGAGAAACTGACTTCTTAATTAAGATGGGGATTCGTTCCCAGTAATCTGCTATCTCTCTACTTGCATATGGTGAAGGTGCGAATTGTGCAACGCAATAGGACCAGGCCTGTCTCGCCCATTTAAACTCATAAAATGCCTTCTGGAATTCCTATTGAAATGAAGAAAGTCTGTTCAGCATGGTCTGTCTCATCTATTGACTAATATCAACCAAAGCATTCAGTAAATGGAAGATTCAGAAATCGTGACGGGCATTATCCTCCCAACGTGAATGAACAGACCCTAGAGTTGCACACTTGCTTTTTTCACTTCTGATTCCATCTCCTCATTCTAAATGTCTTTTTGAATAAACTAGTGCCTCAATTTCGTTCATTCACCTCAATCTGCTTTTAGCTTTTATTACCTCCTCACAAACGAGGTTAGCGAGAGTGCAAATTGAGTTAGAAATAACTTGTATTCGTAACAAATTCATTCGTTTTTTCAAATTGGAGTCGGATAATCGAACCATGTATAGGTATTCTTCTAGTTATTTATCTTTGGAGAACGCCAGCCTCTTATAAAACTGATTCTTATGATCTTCCCTAACATTTATAGGTCTGAGATTATTCGTCTCATGCGAGTTCCGGGATGATGTAGGATATACTTCATTTCAGTGTCTGCTGGTGTATCATATAGATTATTCACCCCTTCGTCTTTTGAATAATCCCTCAAAAATAGGATAAGAACGCCTAGTTTGTACCAAGGTTACACTACAAACATTATAACAACGTATCCCCATTATCAGAAGTAGGGTTCTCGATCTCTTAACACCCCATGCTTGCATTATGACATTCAGAAAGCGTATTTCCTTGTAATGGAGTTCATTTGTAGACAAGCGTTTAGGACTTTTCAGATTTCAGCGTAGCTGTATTTTGGACGGAAATTTCACCTTACTGTCAGTGAGAGATAAGGGTCTTGTGACCCTACTTAGACTAGGTTTATCCTACAAGTGCAGATTTATGTATCAGTAGGATTGGTGTCGTTTCAGTCTTCCTAGTTATCAATAGCCCTTTGATTAGTTCTGTTTAGTATCAAGGAGTAACAAGGAGTACTGAGTTGACTAGCGCTGTAGGCAAATGTGACCCAAGTTTCGTCGCGGCGTTTTTACGCTGTCAGTACGGGAGTCATAGAAGCTTGAAGATTTCAACTCATTTTACTCATTGTATTACATTTATGGCGGACCAAAAAATATTGTCACTCAAAAATAGCAATAGAGTTATTATGTTCAAATGTTAATGTTATAATATATCAACTATAAGTTATAAAAACAAGCAAAAGGTAAAGGAAGTTACTTAAATCGGCAGGCTTGTGCGTGTTCCAATTGCGTTCGGTACCCTGATCCACAATTATTGATAATAAATGGTTCCAGTAATATTGCCAGACGTATAATATGATAGAAACGCGGCTGAAGTCTATTAATGTAGATGATAGGTATTTCATAGCTCAGTTATCATAACCACAATCAACGGAGAAAAAGAGACGTGTGTATGGTAGTGTGTTTACAAGCAGTTAACAACATGTGTCATGCTATGAGTGTTGCACAACGGAAGAAAGTGTGTTCAAGGTACTATACTCAAACAACATGTACAATCATTTTGTGGTAAATGTATAACCCGTGAAAATTAACGAGATAAATAAATAAGTTTGTTGTGTCTGTCTCCACACATTACTATTTATACTGCGTAACAATAATTTGGTCTTTGATAGACAAAATTTTTGGTCTGAAACGTCTTTCGAAGTATCTAAAGAATATATTTAAACTGACATAATGGCTAACGAATGCCAGAAATAAAGGGGATATGTTGACACTAAATCAATTGATCAGGTCGCGTATTTGGATCTACATTAAAATAAACTTACCCACGAGAAGAAGTACATTCAAGAGTAGCAAATGTGCATTTGTTGCTTTTCATGATACATTCATCTGTAGAAAATTCAGGTAAGTCAACTTACGAAGGGATTTTCACTATTAAAGCAATCAAGACTGAAAATTTTATCACGTAATTAAAATGCACTCATTTTTCTTGTCTTCCAAAACAGAAAATTTACGAGGACACTCCAAAACAGTTCACAAGCCCAGAACGAATTACTTGTCAGCTGACTACCGACTTTCTCATCGAATCATCAACGAGTGGAACTCATTACCTCAGCACGTAGTCAAGGCTTCATCCGTCGACTCTTTCAAAATAAACCTGGATCAGCTGAGAGACAATCATTGTCAGGACTAACACAGGCCATCAAGCTTCCTGTCCTTTCCAAACTGAAAATGAAACCTCTCTCCTGAAAAGTTCATTACTACTGAAGCCAACTAGCTAGAATGAATTCATTTAATACCACTGGGGGTAAGCAACACACCACTGACGATCAAGGTTCTCATGCAGTTAATATGATTGTTTAATATAAGCGTGGCAAACAGATATTGGATATAGAATCTCGACCTGACCTTGCACATAAGTGTATGGCGGCTTGAACCGCCATTGATCAGTTCTGACCAACAAAGTACGTCTTTCTGTAGCTACTCCTAGTTATCACACTCGCACTCTCTTTTTCTTTATGAATAAGTCGACCCATTATCTAGCAGCTCTGAGGTTTTGAGAGTCATCTTAGTTTCGGTTATGCGTATATCTTCCAACGAATCACTGTAATTTATGCAGTCCGACTGTTTCTTTTCGGCACTGGGACCCAAGACTAACAAATCATTTTCTTAGTTCCAAACGTATCGGCATTCAAGTGGGAAAATGCTTCATGGTGTAATTAGATGGCTGTAAATCAGAATTGTGGGACCAGTACTAAATATCATTCATAACGCTAGTATTAAGAGCCTGAGAACTTAGACTTTAGCTTGTATGACTGATCAAACAATAAGTTCACTCCTACTCTTCTCTCATTTTCTAGCCCAAATAATTCTCCAAGGCTTTAGTTCACGACGTACATGAGTTCAAGGGATTTATCATCCCCCCATGGAAAAACTGGTTTTGTATTTTCATCATTGTTCTTAACGCCTAACCACACGATCGTTTACCAACTGAAGACTTCATAATTGCTGGCCGAAAACCCATATTAACTGGTAAATATATACTCGAGGGAATACGTAGACTGTCCCTAACATCCCCAGTTTTTGGTCCCTAGTCTGGTTAACCAGCTTGGCAGATTCTTCTCCCAAGCCAACCATTTCGGTCTTTAATGCATCAGGATTAGGTCTTCATTTTTGTAAATTCTGTCCCACTGAGTTCTAGCTACTAAACCCATCATCGGCTGCCTAAAATGGTGTTCGCTGTGTACGTGATATACGTTAAGAAGTTTGTTCTTCATGCAGTAATACAAACCACTGAAGTAGTTAATACAAAGCCAACTGGTCCGAATAAGAGTCAAATCATTTGAGTGGAAATAGTTGTCACGTACCACTTTATTTGCTTCGTTCTTTTAAGATATCCTCACAATGAAGGGATACTCAATAAGAGGGGTTACATGCAAATGGTAATTATGATGGTAAGAGGCTAACTACATTAAGGTTATCATTTATTCCGGCTCTAAATATCAGTCAGTTATAGATGGTTACGGACAGCGATTATTTAAAAGCCTGAAAAACAAAGTAAAAATATAGTCACGTTAGAACGCGTTTGATGATAGTTTTCTAGCGAGATACCAATGGTCGTGTGTAATAGCCAATAACGTCAAAAAGTATTTTCGTAACGATACTCTTCTTTCTGTCCGGGCTACTGTAATTCACAGTAGCGTTGGAGAAAAAAACTAACACAAAACTATCATTCTTATGTTATCAGTAGCAAAGGAAAAACCAAGTTTTACCAAGCCGTAATAGTACGGTGCTGAAAATAGAAAAGTAAGTAATGGCCATATTTACTTGTGTCTCTCTAGACACCTTTTCAAACCATGATCTTAACGTATAGCCTATTACACCGACATTGATACTATCATCATCTCAATCCCTCTGTCATTCATCTTGCTAACCATAAGTCACAGTTACTCTAGTGTGCCTGACCTGTAATCTGCGCCAAGGCATGTGAATTATTTGAATTTTCAGTTGGACTTCAACAAGTAGGCTCGTTTGTTTGCTAAGTGCAGAACATGGGGTGAAAATGATCAGGTTATGCGTGTTCTATTCCCGGGAAGATTCTAAAACATTATTTCCTGTGTATCTTGGTTGTTTTGTTTTATACGTACATTTGAAAACTCCGTTTAATGGACCATGAAATGTCAGTTATTGACAAATTATTTTGGTAAGACAATGTAAACTTTTCAGTAAGTTACTACAGAGTGCTTGCTTAATTTCTGATTGTAATATTAGCAAATTTTGCTACTGACTCCATACTTTTTATTGAAGTAAATTTAGAGAGATGGAGTTTGATGTATTTGAAAAGTTGAGTGAACTGGAGACTGAAATCCACATTTTGAAGAAGGAACTCGAAGAAAAAGATGCATTTATTCAAAACCTGATGGACAAAAATACAGACTTGGAACGCCGTCTACTATCTCTCGATCAAAACAGTTTGACCGGTGAAAATAATTTACCACGTTTAAAAGAGGTTGCTCCCAACGGTTCGAATACAACCGACTCTAAAACATATGGTGCAATCGTATAGTGAAATTTATATTTCATTCTTAGGTGCATCAATAGCTAATATGCTTAAAGAAACATCAGAAGCTGTTGTACGTAATACAGGCTACACATTCGACGAACGAACTGGTTTGTATTATGATCATAAGAGTGGCTACTATTATGATCCGGTATGTTATTTGAAACTATTTGAACGCAAATAATTTTAGGAGAATCAATTATTTTACGAACCCAAAACGGGGACATACTATAAGTATAATTCAGAAACCGGTGAATATACAAATTATACCGCATCAGAAGATGATGCTATGAATAGCAAATTCAAGGAATTCGCTCATCCGGTGTATGCACACTTACTAAAGGTAAGAAGTTTCATCCATAAGTGTTGATTGTATTTTGCAATTTCATGCGCAAACTTGTTTGCTTAAAACAAATATAGATTGATTGAAAACTTTCTTTTTTATAATGTTCCAGCCTATTCTGTTTAATTATTTTAGGTCAGTTTATATCGAGTCATCGGATCATCAGTGGAGATACAGTTGTACAGGAAACAATCAAATCCACTCGAAAGAAACAAACATTTAACATTTTATCTCGATTTCTTTACTTTCATACTCTTTTATTTTCATTGCTTTTCACTTTCGGGATGTAATTGTTGGGGGTGTTGAATGAAGAAAATGCAACAGCGCCACAAAGCGGAAAAAGAAAATGATCATGGTTACCTATCAAAAACTGTATCTAGACATAGTCGATCAACAAGCAGTGATATTGGTCATCGTAGAAGACGGCGAAGTCGTGGTTACTCTGGTTCGCACTGCTGTCGTTCGTACTACAAACGTGGGCGTGAAAGTCCATCATTTCATAGACATACAAGGCGCAGACAAAAATCTTACAGATCCTCCTATCGTTCTGGTAGTTCTCGTAGTGATGAAAGCCTCTATAAACGTAAAAAACACCGGAGAAGAAAACACTCTCATCGACGCCGGCATAAATCATCTTCCACTGGTTCTGTGTGTTCGCACAAAAGTCGAAGTGAGTTCTTCTGAACTTACCGCCCATATTGTGAATTTATCTTTCATTTTTTATGCATTAACATTTCCATCCCACTTTTTCATCTTTTAAATTAGTCAATGCGTGAACAAGTTTTCGCTTAAAGTACGTTACTTTATTCAATAATGCATTTATTCATGGTTTTATTTCTGTACATGAGTTTTATCGAAATGATGAAGAGGTGCTTTTTCGCTATTTCTGTGTTGCTTGATTAAAAAGTGAGATATCTGTAAATCCTATCTAAAATGTTTGTTATTATTATTACTATTATTATTACCAGGTTAAGAATAAAAATATGTTGAGTTTTCATTCAGTAAACCCGTTTCGTTGATATTAGGTCATTGATTTATTTGGTTTTTTCTATAGATTAAAGTTCTATAATAAGTACAATGTTTACTACTTTTTGGTGTAATATGTATATGTCAATTAGCAAAACTTGATGTGTCTTGTCCGGTTTACAGGACGGGTATTCATGATACAAAATACGTTTTCTTTTGTTTATGGTTAAAAATAGCGGGTAGCAGTATCTAGTCTCGATGGTCATCTGTTTCATTTATAATAAAACTTTATGGGTTAACATAACTAATATTCGTTGTTGAAGTTAGTTTTAACGATATTATTAGCGATTCAAACAGTTTGTATGTGATGTTCCGTTCTTATTGTATTATTAAATAACACTTGCGGTCGCGCGGACTAATTTCGAGTAAAACTATTGTCTATTATTTTAACAACTATGTTTCACACGTTTCAACATTTAAATTCACGCTATAATCTCTACATACCTGCTTGTCTGCGAGTTTCATCTCATAACTATCTTCATAATTCAATTTCCTCCTTTACTAAATTGGTCTTTTCATTTTGACGTGTTCATTTTTGACAGATCTTTTGTAATGTTTTAAAGCTATACTGTCTTAAATCATTTTTATGATACGAGTAATAATTTACTTACCAGCCACTAAATACTTGACAATTGTGTTGTAGACTATATCTCTTCTGTACTTGGTAGCACACTAATCTTTATAAAGTATTCAAGTGTCTCTTTAATTCCACCGAGATTTACAAGTGTATTAGATAATTTAGAGCAAATTATTTTCTCATTATTCGTTGATTTTTTTTTGCAACTAATGACATGACAGGAAGTACTCTTATATTTCACAAACGCCGTTCAGTCCCATACAATTTGTTTTTTGAACTTAACTAGCCTTTGTTTTAGCTTTAAAAGTTCTTTAGAGTTAACATTTCAACGCAAACAATCGTCAAACGGAGAGCTCTACGGATTTTACAAGAATCATCAAGAAAAACCGGAAGATCTACCTGGATGAAAACCAAAGTGAATTTTGTACATTAAATAAATTTCTGGTTAAATATTTTGTCTTGTAAATTTTCATTTTTAGCTGCCAGTCCTATTCAATAAATTGATTTGTGCAGTTCTTTCAATAACTGGCTATAACGTTATAAAATTGGGAAATCATCTGTTGCAATGTATTTGTATTTCAAAGATACAATTATCGATTACTCAGTGGATACTGTCGAAGTTCTTAAAGTAGGATAAATAATTCAACCAATTACAGATGTTCAACAATTTTTTAACTCATATTTCATTGACTAATTAGTTATAGAATCTTATTCGATCTTGTAACTAATTTTAGTAGTTAAAATAATCTGACTAGATCCTCAGCCACCACACTTCGAATTTGTTCTGTTTAGGGTGAATGGATCTATAAAACTTTTAAGCCATCAAAACAAAAACTTAGTTTATATGTAATTGTACATTTTGACAAACAATTTATTCTTGTACCAGCATATGTCAATATGATTAGGTGGATGTCGAATTTCGAAATCCCTATTTCTTTATCTAAAGTTTTTTCTTAGTATCAATTAAGTTAATGTACGAAATACGAATCGTTATTTAGTCTCTCCTATTTCTGAACGAAGTCCCATTTTACATGTAATATACGTTGCCTAAGACTAGTAGGTAGTATCTAAACCGTCGTACTAGAACTCACTTAAGTGTGGATTCGACTGCTCTCACAATTTACCACTCACTGCTTTATGATCGGTTTTCATTCCAAATCGCTTCATCACATTAATTTGATTTACTTTCAATAAGTAAGTAAAGTTAGTTTCAGTTTTAAAGAAGTAAACACTATGTGTACATCTTAGTGAATAGCACTGATTGTGTACCCGTCGCACACAACTAATAGCTCATAGATGTACAGTAATATTAACTTTGCACCGAATAGTTTAGATAAGTAGTATTTTGTTTATTAAATTTCATTTTCCTCTAAACTGTTTGCATTTATTTGGTACTACACGAGTAAAACTCCAATCTTGTTGTCTTTTCTTTCATGACCTTAGTACGTGTATGTAAATGAGAGAATTGATGTGGTAGAATCATAATTGAGTCTTCCTGATCCGTTTATCATGTTGGGTGCTTAATATCGAATCTGTCAACAATTTTCGATTTTTGAAGTAAGCGTATTGTTTTAAAGTATCCCCTAGTAGTTGTAAGGGTCGGCGGAAGTAAGTAAGACATAAGGATTGGTATATTATCCACTTATTATTTATGGGATTGATATGTTTTGGGTCAATTATGTTTGAAGGGTAAACAGGATAGCGGTTCTTCACCACGGATAATATTGATTCAAGTAAGTCAATCGGTCATAGTGAACCTGGCACGAATGTGTACATGTTAATTCAAAGTAAGTCCCAAAATTGCAGTCCTATATTTCACAACATCGTTAGCAAAATTGTTAGGTAGATGGTCTTTAGGCTAATTTTCTTAAATAATCAGGTGATAGGTAGTAATTGGCAAGACAGGTTTTGGTCATAAATATGATTACCGTTCGATCTATACTCCCTAGCTGTGGTAGGAAGATAATTTAGCTAATCCTCTCCCATACTATAATACCAGAAGTTAGCTAGCTTTTTATTTTCTAACTTCAAAACTACATTTCATTTTGCAAACTTACCTCTCTTCAATAATCTTTCCGTACTGTCGACTTTTGCAAACGCATGTGAACATTTTTCTTCATTCGTGTCCCCTCTGTGTCCATATACATCAAACCTGACACTGTCGCTGTGTTAGTCCTCACGTGTAGCTATTGTTTTAAGCAAGTTCCAGCTGTTTCTCGACCACACTTGCGAAAGGCTCTCCATTTGATTGTTCAGATAATACCTTTAGACATCGGGTTTTATCTCTTGTTCTCATCGTGTTAAAAATACCTAACTTGGTACTGTTTGATGTGTTTGTCAGTGTATTACATTGGTCAATGTAAACTCCGTTATCTCTGTAAAATCCTTGAGTTGGCTTTTATTCATTGTCTTATTTCGGCCTTGTCTACGGTACATATTTTCATTATTCACTCTTTATGTTAATGATAAAAATAATTCAGTCAGTAGAGTAAACTTTTCCTCAGGCTGTCAATAGTAATCATTTTAATGAGTCTAGGGATGATTTAGAAAGTAAAACCTTCCTAATTCATTGCTAATTGACCAACCAAACCTCGGCCTGAGCGTCAGCTTTTTGATTAAAAAAGAAACGCTGATTCATATGTATTTTTGAGAAAGGCAATGCAATCATAATTATAATACCTGGATTCAATATTTCGTTAGTTATTAGGGTTTCTTAGTAAATACCACGTTCATCCCTAAAAGGTAATGTTTGTCCGTAACAGTGTCGTTACAAAAACAAATCACAACTTAAATGAATATGAAAGATTTTCTATCATGACAGTGAATTATCGTAGAGTTTGTCTTCATATTGTTATTGTTCCTTCAGTGTCGTTACACATTCGAGCAGTTCAAAGCTTTGGTTCGGAGGACAACAACACTTTCGAAAGATACCATTCGCAACATAACAATTCTATTGTAAAATAGAAAATACTGAGTTGGGCTTTGTAATGAACGTCATGTTTCCCTTATCACATTCTCTTGTTAACTCATGGTCTTGTAAATACTGAACCGAACACAAATATATCTTTGACTGAAACGTAGATGATTCAACATCGAAATTAAAATAACTTTTACTGGGGAAAGTTTTGTTTTAGGATGACTTTTGTCAAGATAAGTTGCAGTACAACTTGCGTTAAGATCATAGAGTGAACGGCATTTTCGTAGTATCTTACATGACAGTACATGTCTACCAAAAGGTAAACCCGTCAGTAAGTTTCCGCTACTAAAGATCACAGTTTATTTAGTGTCATCTCACTGTTATGCACAATCATTTCTGTCGAACTTTTAATCCGTACAACAAAGTAAGACTCATTATGCAGACGGATTTCTCTTTAAATTATACAGCGAATTTGTTAGTTATTCCTTTAAATGCTAAGAAACACAGCGAAAGACTAGATCTCAAGGGTTTGTTTATTCTATATTTTTCATTATGACAGTCATAATTTACTGTAATCTAGATAAAGGTTTTCTAACCGGCATTAACTTTTCATTTTATAATCTGACATTCCCAATAAACCTGCAAGTATAAAAGATATCCTTTGCTTTGTATTTCTTCTTGATTCGTTAGTCACTAGTAACTTAATACTCGGTCAGTTGTAAATGTCGTTTGCATACGGATTTTATCTAGATTTTTATATTAATGTAGTACTATGTCGGTGAATGTTAACAACACAGTTGAAATATAGATGTTGAGATCCTAAACCTGTAGTTAATAATCCTAAAGTGTTGTATGATTCATTCTATCCAAGGCTACAACACCGGTGACGAATTTTCCTGGGTTTTACCATTTAGACATTAACACCTTTTGCCCCGGTATATTAACAATTATAACTACTGTTATACACTCAATTCTGTAAAATGTCTAACACTTGGCTGCTTATGTTACTTACGCCTGTTACTGATCTTCATTGAGTTGCATAGGCCGTCGACCAGTATTCTCAATCGAACTCTGTCCTGCACTTCTTTCCAGTTGCTAATCATTCTTTTGATATTTCCCTCCGATTCACAACGTAGAGTGTTCTTCAGCC